TACTTGTTACTCTCACTGGACACGCTGGCATGATCAAGGCCGAAGAGAAGTGAAGTGGTGTTGGATTGGGATAGTGAGGAGAAGACTTACTTGCGATTGGAGCGATTGAGCGAACGTGGAGTCTTCATCAACGACTACAAAGAAGAGAAGAACCTCTTGCCCCACTTACCTCGATTGATTGCAAATCTGTATGTTGTGTATCTCTTCCCCCTCCTTTCTGGCGGTCGATGCTGCTGTCTGGACAAAACCTGTGGCCTGGTCTGATCAGTTAGACAGGTCTAGAGAGTCAATATCTGGTCTTCGTGTTAGCTATCTGGTCTGTCGATAGGTAGGGAAGGAAGGTTGAGTCAGGGAACTGTGTACTGCCATGTCAGAGTGTAAGTGGTTGAGAACAACGAAACTCGTGATGAATTGAATCAGTTTTTGAAGAAAGTGCGAGTATCATCCGGCTCCCTTCTCTAACGAAAGTGACCAAGACAAGACCAATAGGCAGAGACCAGCTAAGTAATTAAACAGACAACAAACAAAGGAAGAAGGGGAAAAAAAAAGAGTTTCTACTTTGCATCTTGATTAAGAAAACGGTATATATCTTCTGCATTACTAATTTTCGATATTCTGAAGCAGCGACATCCAGATTATAATTAAAAAAAAAAACATCCACGTAGAAGGTAGATTAGGATCTGGGTTGTCTACTTGGTGGGCCACCGGAGGCTATCCCTGTGCTATCGCCCATCATGGATAATTATCCCATCCAAGGTATATTGGTCGTTTCGGTGTTGTTGGGGCCCCTCTTCAAATTGTTTTTTCCCCTTGGATTCGGGAGGGTCTGTACCTCCCGCATGATGCAGACAAGATATGGAAAAATAAAGCAAGGGTTGCCGGCGGCAGAGCAAGCAGAAGTGGATCACCGCCTGGCGGAGAAAAAAAGAGAAAGGATTAAAAAAGAAACAGAAAGAAGAAGAGGTAAAGAAAATAAAAGAAGAAAGAGAAAAACTAAAAAAAGAAATGAAGGAGAAAGAAAGAAAACTGCAGGAAAAGCGGAACGCAGTGGAAGAAGAAGAAGAAGAAGAATAAAAAGAAGAAATAGAATCAGAGGATGGTTAGAGATTGCACAGATGTCAGACGGAAAGAGGGGAATCCAGCAAGCCTGGTGGCATCTCAATTTAGATGGAAGCCATGAATTGGCTAGATCAGTTTGGATATAGGACCCCCATGTATGTTGAGTCGGAGGAGGACAAGAATGCCTTTGTTGAGCTGCTCGCCGCAAGAGATGACCCTGGAGAGAAAGAAATTTTGATTCAAGAAAAGAAAGCAAAATTAAATAATAAAATGGTGGCAGCAAAGAGGCAATAATTTATAGAATGTCACCCAAAGAATTGGATGAATTGCGAACCCAACTCGATGAAATGCTGGAAAAAGGGTGGATAAGGCCTAGCTCCTCACCTTATGGTGCGCTAGTGCTATTTGTGCCAAAGAAAGATGGCGGGGTCCACATGTGCATAGATTATAGACGATTGAATGATATAACGGTTAAAAATGCTGAGCCATTACCAGGAATCGATGATCTATTGGATAGAGTTCAGGGAAGTAAGTACTTCACTAAGATTGATTTGAAGTCTGGCTATCATCACATCCAGGTAGAGCCAGAAGACCAACATAAGACTGCTTTTCGTACAAGGTATGGGCACTACGAGTTCATGGTGTTACCCTTTGGTCTTACAAATGCACGTGCAACCTTCCAACGAACAATGAATGAACACTTTTCGTGAATGGCTTGATAAATTCGTTGTAATATATCTTGATGATATTTTGATTTTTAGCAAGATTGTGAAAGAACATTGCGAGCATCTTCGACTTGTGCTTAATAAATTGCGTGAGGCAAAGCTGAAGTAAAACCCGAAAAAGTGTGAATGGGCAAGCGTGAAGTGTTGTATCTGGGGCATGTGCTAGATGGAGAAGGAATCAAATCGGAGGACGTAAAGATTGCAGCTATTCGAGATTGGCCTAACCCCCGCACTCTGACGGAACTGCGATCGTTTCTTGGTTTACTGTTATCGGAAGTTTGTTAGACACTTCACGATAATTGTTGCTTCCCTTCGTAGACTCTTGAAGAAAGAAACAATCTGGAATTGGGACCAGGATTGTACGTCCTCATTTCATCGTCTTAAGAAATGTTTAATCAACTGTTCGGTCTTGGAAGTTGTTGATCCTTCCTTGCCCTTTGTGGTCACAACCGACGCCAGTCAGTACGGGATAGGTGTTGTACTCCAACAAGATGATGGGAATGGGTACATGCCTGTTGAGTTTGTCCCGACGACTGCCTAGTCAGAAGGTTGCCGCTTCCACATATGATAGAGAGTTGTTTGCTCTCCGGGAAGCCTTGGATCATTGGCGACACTACCTCCTAGGACGCCACTTCAAAGTGTACTCAAATCATGAGACACTTCGCTGGCTAAAAATGCAAGTTGGAATGACGCCTAAGTTGACAAGGTGGGGGGCGAAAATTGATCAATATGACTTTGAGCTTAAGCCAGTAAAGGGGAAATACAATGTTGTCGCCGACGCTTTAAGTCGAAGATCTGACTTTTTCGATGCTATTGTAACATATTTAGATTTAGGCACTGACATGCAAGATAAGATTAGAAATGCGTATTCCATTGATCCTGTCTATGGCGCTATGCTTAATCGTATTCAAGAAGCACCACAAGATTTACCTAACTATCGGGTAACGCAAGGACTGTTGTTTAAAAGAACAGATGTGCATGATAAGCTTTGTATTCCAGACGTGGAAGCGATTAAAAGTGTGATCTTGGCGGAGTGCCATGATACAGGAGGCCATTTTGGGTGGAGGAAGACCTATGCTAATCTTCTATGTCCCTACACCTGGCCTCGAATGAAACGTGATTGCATCGCATATGTGCAAAGTTGTCAAGTGTGTCAACGAAAAAGAGCACCGCGCAGCCTCCCCTTGCCATTATACAGGAGGGCATTTTGGGTGGAGGAAGAACTATGCTAATCTTCTATGTTCCTACACGCAAGGACTGTTGTTTGAAAGAACAAACGAGCATGATAGGCTTTGTATTCCAAACGTGGAAGAGATTAAAAGTGTGATCTTAGGGGAGTGCCATGATACATGGAGATTAAACGTCGGCAACCCTTGCTCTACCGCCGAGCAATGCCGGCACGCTGAAGCACTGCGAGGTGCTGCGCTGCGTTAGGTTGAGGTGAGGCAGGCTGGCGCTAAGCGATAGGGCGCAGCCTGGGCGTAGGGCGCTGGCGGCCATAGCCGGGCTGCCTGTGGGCGCAGAGGGAGGTTGAGGGCGAAGGTGGTTCTTTGGAAGGTGAAGGGCGCTGTGTGGGATAACAAGGGAGAGTGAGGGTGAAGAGAGACGTACCTGGTGGAGAGGAGGTTGGCATTGGTGTTGACGTCATCACTCGCTAGTCGTCAAGTTGTCTGGTTGCTTCCACGCTGTAGTTGTAGTGTTAGGCTATAGAGTACATAGGGCGCCTGGTGCCATTCAAGAGAGAGAGCTACATTGGGTTATGCTGTTGGTGTTGCCCAATTGGGCTTGGACATTGACTCACGATTCTCTGTACCGTTCTCAAATGGATGGTTACTCGGTTCCATTGTGCTATTTGCTCTTGCTTTGACTACTTGGACTTCAGTGTGATTTTGCAATTTGGATTATTGTGCTTCGTCCACATTCATGTTCCTTGCATTTTGGTATCAGAGCTGGTTCCATTCGCCACTTACCTTGGTGCGCTGGCATTATACAGACTTGGTGCGTTGACCATGCTTCTTCACAGTTGGTTCTTGTGATGTCAGTCCATATTAGGCGCACGACCTGGGTAGAGAGGTGTGCGCCGGAAGGCTATACGGCTTGGGATGCCGTGGTGACGGCGGAATGTATGATTGGTGATGAGAGCATGCTGATGTGGCATTTGGCTGAGGTGGCACTGCATTGCGTTGTGGGTGGTACAGAGGCTACGACCGGTCATCAAATGCACACTCAGCTCAATTGGTGAGAAATTTGTTCCCTTACCTTATCTACTCTCTCAATCTCTTCTTACGCGAGGAAGTGAGTTCAACTTGAGAATCCTCTCTTTTGGTGAGGTGTCGTGAGCGCTCTACCTTGAGAGACGACAATCTTCCCGGTGGCGCATCTGGAAGGAGAACGGGCGGTGCCTCTGAAGGGCCTTGACCGAAGCACGTGGGTCACGGTCACCATGCCAACCCAATGGGATTAGTACACGTATGCGATGGCTGCTTTGTCCATGAGGGCACTTTTGCTGCGCTGATAGAGGGGTGTGCTGATTGAACAGGGTTATGCAGACGCTCCCAGACCGTCTATAAACATTTCTGGATGCGGTTCCGATCTGACAACTGGCTGTGATCTTGGTCCTGATTGCGACGTTAAATAATTCCTGAGCCACCTTGGGGGCAGTCCTTAAATAGGCCACTTGATCAGCCAGATCAGTCGGACGTACGACTCGTTGCACGAGAGGATAAAGAAAGGGCAAGCCTGGTCATAAGCATGCACCTGGGGCACAAGGGTGGGCCGACATTGCACACCTATGACACTGCTGCTTAATGATGCTCATCAGTATGTTGGATCGAGGGGACGGTAGGTTCTAATTGGTGCTCAACTATAAACACAACCAGATCCACTGTTCATACATCTGCAACATAATTTAGTTTTATTGTTGATTAGTTGGTTGAAGACTGCTAACACCTAACAAACAGTTTAGTTTAGGACTGTTGTATACTACCATAGCCAGTTCTATGCAAAACTTTTGTAAGTGAACTAATCATGATATTACTAAAATATGTTACGGTCTTTTATGAATGTTGTAGGCTGCCACTTGATCGGATGAGTAGGGAACCTGCCGAACACATTTATTCTTAGAAAATTAGGTGCTGGTCACACATGCTGTGGTAGGATTCCAACACGGAGTTGTAGTGCAGATAGTGTTTGCCTTACTGATGAGTGGGTCAGACACCGATGAGGGTAGAGTTGACGATGCTAGGCTGACACATTCGAGATCACCCGCGCATGTTTCAGGCCCTACAACCGGGAGATGAGAGACGGCTTCGTGCCGAAGTAAGAGCTCGTGCTCTCGCAGCAGCCAAAGATACAGCACTAGTTGCAAGTCGGGTGTTGGCAGCCGCAAACACCGCAGCTAGGGAACAGGCTGCAGCAGCAGCCAGAGCAGCAGCAATGGCTACCACAGCAGCATCCTTTGCTGCATCCTCGTCTGGGACCCAGTTGGGGATGCCCCCAGGGTCCACGGGTACTTACGGGTCAGTAGGTTCCGGTCAGTCCACAAGTCAAATGGCGGGCTCGCAGTTCAGCCCGTTGACCCCACGCGGGAGGGAGCTTCAAGAGCTCCAGCAAGTCGAGAGGATCCGCGCACGGTTAGAGAGGGAACTGAAACAAGCAACCAATAGAGAAAAGGAGATCAAAAATGAAACAGCCAAGCTTGATACGTTAGAGGCAGACAAAGCTGCATTAGAGGGTTTGGATGAGTCAGCTATGTCTGACCAAATGAAAGTGTTGAAGGCCAGCATACTGTCGCTGCATGCGCACGTGGACAGCAGGCTGGACTTCATGCAGAACTCTTTGGACCAAATCTTGGACCTTTTGCAAAGGCCAGGATTACGGCCAGCAGCACAGTCGCCGTTGCCGTTAACGGCGATGTCAGGCCCCTTTCCGGTACAAGCTAGCACACAGGCAAGTGGTACGTCTGCAGCAGCCGCACAGACTGTTGCTTCTTCTTCTTCTGGTCCAGCGGTGATATCTACACCATCACCTCAACAAACTGTTCCACCACAGGGATAGCAGCAAGGTCAATGGTACCCAAAGACCCCAATGAAACCGCCCCTTGCCTTCTCCGGTGAGAAGAAGGACGAGGAACTCAACACTTGGTTGAGAATGGTTCCAGTGTGGGTAAGGGCAAAGAGGACTTTGCAAGAGGACGAGGTGATTACTGTTGCATCTTCCCTTGAGGGTAAGGGAGCCAAATGGCTGGATGGATTAGTAGCGAAGGCCGGGTTCGGACGACGCATGGTAGAAGCTCGCTGGCACAATCCGCAGCAGGCACAAATTGCCACTGTCGTTCCCGATATACGCTACGATGACCAGGTCTTATGGACCATGTTTCTGAGATGTCTGCCCGAGAGTCTCAGAAATTTGCTGGCCAGCGAGGCTCGCCTCGAGTATCATTCCTTTGAGACCTTCTCTAGAAAGGCCTTAGATTTGGAGGCTACTCTAGGAAGTGCTCAACCTACTCCAGTAGACGGGAGGAATAAGAAGAGTCCAGAGGAGTGGAAAAAGAAGGCGAGTCGATTGATGATGGTTGAGTCTGATGGGACCCAAACCGAGATTGATGAACTTTCTGACCTGATGGACAGTCCAGAGTACGACGGCGAGGAAACCGCTGAGGGTAGCACCCTCGCCGCAGTAGTGAAGACTAAGGCAGGTGGCCGAGGGCAGGGCCATCAAAAGAGTCAAAGGCAGGCCGCCTCCAATCAAGCCAAAGTTGCTGATTGGGTCAAGGCAGGTCTTAATCAGGAAGTGTGGCGGGACCGTAGAGTGCGTGGTGCTTGCATTAACTGTGGTGAATACGGACACACCTAGTACAAGTGCAAGAACGCAAAGGTCACGCAGAAGATACCTCCTAAGGGTGGGGTACCTTCTTCCCAGGTTTCAAGCTCGGGAAACATGTGAGGCCGATGAAAGTTTTAGCTGCTTCTACTCATGGTGAAGTGGGTCAGATACCCTCCCCACTTCATGAGAAGGCCATAGCTAATGACTCTTTAGTCACCCTGCAGACTCATCTAGACCAAACTATGCTTTGTACGTTGGATGTGTCTGAAGCCTTAGAAGATTTGGAAAGTGAGTGGTCAAGCAAGGACCCTCGCGAATCTTGGGTGGCACTAAGTAGAGGTCCTAGAGGGGAACATTTCGTTGTGGAAGTTGCTGTAGGAGGCCGCAAATGTGGTGCCTTCGTAGACATCGGCTCCACGCGGAATTACATAAGGCGCGACTGTTTGGAAAGGCTGCACCTAAAGGACCGGGTACAACACCTTAGTAGACCGGTAGCATCTACTTTGGCCAATAAGGAGCGCATGGTTGTCACAGACTATGTCAAGGATGTAGTGTGTACCTTCTCCTATGGAGGAGGGGAACTTAATCACAAGATTTCGTTCCTGGTTAGCGACGACTTACCATTTGATATGTTGTTAGGAATGTACTACCTTGAGATTGCCAAGCCCCAGTTTGACTGGGACAAGAAGGTGCTAAAGCATAAGTTGTAGGATGGAAGGATTGTGAGACTAGCTAAGGCCAGTAGCTTAATAGAAACCTATGGCTGCTTGTGCGCATCAACGTTCTATAATTATTATAAACAGAACCAAGAGGAGGGTATGCACCTAGTGTATGTCTCTGAGAAAGGGGAGGCCGTTAAAACACCCCCAGAGATAGAACACGTCGTTGCTAAGTTCCATGATTTGTTCACAGAGCCCACAAGAGTCGTAGAAAGGGAGATTGTCCACGCCATAGAAATTATTCCAGGGAGTAAAACCCCAACGGGAAGGATCTATAGGATGGCTCCGGCCGAGTTGGACAAACTTCGGCGACAACTGAAAGAGCTGTCAGAAAAGGGATGGATACGGCCGAGTACTTCCCCCTTCGGATCTCCAGTGCTATTTGTACCGAAGAAGGGGGGTACATTGAGGATGTGCATTGATTACARAGGCCTCAATGCCATCACAGTGAAAAACGCAGAGCCTCTACCTCACATAGACGACCTATTGGATAGGGTGCAGGGATGTAAGTACTATAGCAAGATAGACTTAAAGTCTGGTTACCACCAAATTGCTATAAGACCTGAGGATCAACACAAGACTACTTTTCAGACCCGATACGATCTATATGAGTTTGTAGTGATGCCCTTTGGCCTTTGCAATGCGCCGGGTACATTCCAGCACGCCATGAGTAGGATCTTCCATGACTACTTAGATAAGTTTGTCGTCGTGTACCGTGATGATATTCTTATCTTTACTAAGTTTGTCGAGGAGCATGCACAACATGTTGAGACTGTATTTTCACTCTTGCGACAACCCAAGTATAAGGTCAACCTAGAGAAATGTGAGTTTGGATGCACTAGGATTTTGTACTTGGGTCATGAAGTATCCGCGGAAGGGATTAGGCCGAAAGATGCGAAGGTGGCTAGTATCAGAAACTGGCCACGACCTCAGACTGTTACTGAGGTCATATCTTTCTTAGGGATGTGCGACTACTATAGGAACTTTGTGAAGAACTATTCCACAGTCGCCTCTCCTTTGACTGATCTAACTCGACTTGACACACCTTGGGACTGGAGTGATGAATGCGAGGCTGCTTTCAAACGATTGAAGCATGCACTCATGAATCATGAGGTTCTCATGGTGCCCGATCCTCAGAAGCCTTTCATTGTGACCACTGACGCAAGCCAATATGGCATTGGCGCAGTGCTGGCTCGGCAGGATGGGAAGAAGTTGAGACCGATTGAGTACATGAGCAAGAAAATGCCATCAAAGAAACTGGCGAAGTCCACCTACGAAAGGGAACTCTATGCTCTCTACAAGGCAGTTGTCCATTGGAGGCACTTTCTGTTGGGACAATTCTTCTATTTGAGAACTGACCATCAGACCCTTAAATGGATCAAGACTCAACCGACTCTTTTTGATGCACTCAAGCGCTGGATTGAGGTCATAGATCAGTATGACTTCAAGCTAGAGTATCTAAAGGGAGAGTATAACAAGGTTGCAGATGCGCTGTCACATAGGGCAGACTACCTAGGGGCACTAGTTTCAGAGTTTGGTGTATCTGAGGAAGTAACTCAATCACTGGTGGGAGCCTATCAGGAAGACCCTGTCACGATGGACATCATACGCAAACTTTAGGCAAAAGATAAGGCCGCAGAAGATGAGTTTGTGATGGTGGACGGGTTACTCTTTCTTGAGAAGGCTGGGTGTAAAAGATTAGTGGTACCATCTAGAGAGAGTTTGCACAGTTTATTTCAAGGGGAATGTCATGACGCACTTGGACACTTTGGCTACAAAAAGACAAGTGTCAATCCAGTACAACGATTTTGGTGGCCCGGAATGCTAGATGATGCAAAGACGTATGTGGAGACCTATCACGTCTGCCAGCGGGACAAGCCGCGAACTCAAGAACCGCTTGGGTTGCTGAAGCCCTTACCTATCCCCGCTGGTCCGGGACAGAGTGTTTCCATGGATTTCATGGACACCCTGGTGACCAGTAGGAGTGGCAAGAGGCACATCTTTGTCATCATAGACCGATTCACCAAGTACGCTAGACTAACAACCATGCCAGAGACTGAAAGGACTGAACACGTCATCAAGTTGTTTATGGACAACTGGGTGCGTGATTTTGGACTCCCAAAGTCAATCGTTAATGACAGAGATGTCCGCTTCACAAGTGAGCTGTGGAAGAAGACTGCTGAGCAATTGGGCAGTCAACTTCAGATGACTTTTGGGAATCACCCCGAAGCCAACAGATAGGCCGAACAGATGAACAGAGTTGTACAACACCTGCTGAGGCATTACATCAAGCCCAGCCAGGATGACTGGGATGAGAAATTGCCTCTCATTGCCAGCGTGTACAACAACGTTGTACACAGTAGTACCGACGTCAGTCCTAACCAGCTGCACTTGGGATGGAAGCCTAGATCAGCTTTGGACTTCCTCCTACCTGAGAACCGACCCTCTGCAACTCCGAGCACACTTGAATATGGTGTGCAGTATGAGAAGTTGCTACAGCAAGTTGTCGAGCACATCAAGAAATCTCAGCAAGCAATGATTGCTTCTGAGAACAAACATCGTCGACAATCCTCGTTTCTGGTAGGGGAACGTGTCTGGGTCAAGGCTAGTGAGCTAGGACAGGAATTCGGAATCTCTCGAAAACTAATGCCTCAATATTTTGGTCCCTGGGAAGTCCTGGATATAATTGGAGATGAGATGGATGGTCCTACCTATGTTATCCGTATCCCTGGACACCTACGCACTCACCCTGTCTTTCATGCCTCAAAGCTTGCACCTTTCGCTGAGACAGATCAATTCCCTTCAAGGAGATCGATGCTGCCCCCATGGATGGCCAAGTGGACATCGACGACATTGTGGATCACAGAGACCGGCCTGTTCCAAAGCCACTGGGTCGAGGAAGACCTCCCAAACCCAAGAGAGTATCGCGTCAGATTCAGGCATCATACGGATCCAAAAGAAGATCGGTGGTTCACCAGTGAGGAACTGATTGACACAGCTCCTCAAGTGGTGGCAAAATATGAGAGGATGTTAAAAGGGAAGGCACCTGCGAAGTAAGCATCTCAGCGAACTTTCGAAGCTAAGGGGGATGGAATGTGAGGATTGAGCCCTCAAAGGGGCCTTGCCGTGATGTACATGTTCTGGGCTAAGTGAAGGCGGGCCAACAAATCAACGAGAGCCCCTTTGTTCAAACATTTCACGAAGTGGGGGTCCATACAGTTGCCGCACGCCAGTTGGTTGGAATGCACCGAGTACCGGATCTCTGCAAATGCAGAAAGACCAAGGCCCCACAATTGGTTAGGCCCTGGGCACATAAACGTGAGGTCCACATTGCATGCTGAATATAGAGGCCGGAAATGCCAAAGGGAAACCGGTCCACTACCCGAATCTGGACGCAGACTTTGATGAAAGAGGCACAACTGTATTTTGTGGGCTCCAACCGCATTGGGCCTGGGTACAGGTACTGACGCCCAGGCGCAGGCTCAAGGGAGGCCGCCCACACGCAACATTGGCATATAGGCAGGGAGGGCGAGTGGGCAGGGATCTTGGCCATTGCGAGCAATGGCAGCACACTGAAGCATTGCGAGGTGCTGCGCTGGTGCTGCGTTGCGCAAGGCTGAGGTGAGGCAGGCTGGCGCTAAGCGGTAGGGCGCAGACTGGGCGTAAGGTGCTGGCGGCCATAGCCGGGCTGCGTATGGGCGCAGAGGGAGGTTGAGGGCGAAGGTGGTTCTTCGGAAGGTGAAGGGCGCTGTGTGGGATAACAAGGGAGAGTGAGGGTGAAGAGAGAGACGTACCTGGTGGAGAGGAGGTTGGCATTGGTGTTGATGTCATCACTCGCTGGTCGTCAAGTTGTCTGGTTGCTGTAGTTGTAGTGTTAGGTTGTAGAGTAGATAGGGCGCCTGGCGCCATTCAAGAGAGAGAGCTACATTGGGTTATGCTGTTGGTGTTGCCCGATTGGGCTTGGACATTGACTCACGATTGGGGCACTCAAGCAACAATGAGCTAAGCTGCTTTCCTTACTGGATTCATGGAACAAGCGGACTTTCTTCTTTCCGCCTTGCGGATTAGGGAGCCAACACTCGTGGTCCCTTAACTTTATATCCGCATCTGCAGCTTCACCCCAATCCATGCCTAAAAGAATGTCAAAAGGGAAACTATCTTCCACCAAGAGAGTGAGAGTGGAGAACGCGTTTCACCTTTCCCTCTGCTTCAAGCCGGAAGTATGTCTGAATCCCTTCAACATACCTATCTAACACAATTTCGCTATTATTCGCCAATTTACTTACCACGGGCTCATCCAACTGCTTTACCTTTAGCCCGAGACGCAATTTTTGCAAACCTTTTGTACTTATATTGTTGCGAGTTGACCCGCTATCAATCATTCCACCTACTCTTACTTTATTAACTTCTAGATCTGCAATTATTAACTGTCCTTTTCTTTTCTTCATTCCCGTCCTGGCTTGGCGACGAGTGGCCAACTCATCACCTATGCCAGCGTGGGATCCACCTAGAAACCAGGATGGGGTGGATATGGTTTGTCCCAATTCCAACCTCGGCCACCTTGCGAGGGACCATTGCCCCTTCCTCCCACATAGTAGCTACCTTCGCCACCACCCCTCTGTGTCGGGTCCTCTTCCTCCACGTCCGCGACCTCCTCTTCCTCGGCCAATGCCTCTTCCTTGTCGCCCTCCACCGCGGGCTGCAACGGCCGCGTAGTCCCCCTCCTAAACTATCGAACCGTTGGGTGCTCCCTCCATACCATAGTCTATTTGGTCTTAGGAGAGAGTCTCAACACCTTCTTCAAAGGTCAGAAGGTGGTTGTCTTTCCCAGATATATTCCCTGAGATTGTGCGGTTTTGCCACTTCTTTCCTGCTTGCATATCTTTCCAATAGTGCCAATAATTTGCTTACTTCCCCTATTTCTTCTTGTTGCACTTCCTTCTTCTTCTTGTCTCCATCTCCACCATCTCCATCTCCGTCTCCTCCATCTCCTCCGCCGCCTCCTAATATTTTCTTAGCCACGGCGGGATTTGCCAGTCTCTTGGCTAGTTGTTCATCTAGCTTCTCTACGCAAGTTATTATATGTCTATCAACTTCCTGTGCTGATCTTTGCAGAAAGTTGTTCCAAACCCCTTCCTCTCTGATGTGACAACCCAAAGCTAATCTAGCAGGAAGTTGATAGTCTGTACCGATTGGTCTGAATGTGCTCACGGGACGACGTCGGAGTCAATAGCTTGGGCCATCTCTCGAGAAGGTGAGGGTGTATCCACCATCTTGACCTTAGCAGGAACCAACTACAATTCCTACTGGCCCGACATGTTTCTTGAAGCAGTACCAGAAGTGCTGGCAACGTTGCTACCCTCTGCCCTTGTCCCATCCCAGGCAGGATCTTTTCCGTGACCTTACGGTTCCGACACTCGAACTTCGTATGGCCATATTGGTCACAGCGAATGCAAGCTGCTCGGGCGTACCGATCTCTCCACACATCCTCAGTAAGCCCCGCTTTCTCCCATGGAGGAGCATTCGGTTCTACTTGACTCTTTGACCGGAAACCTCCACGGCATTTACCGGTCGCCTTACCTTTTTGTACTGAGGCAGCAACTACTCCACTCTGACCCTAGTCCCACCTGGAAGTCTTCGTCTAATTCTATGGTAGACCATCGTTGTCGTCGAACATGATGTGCCCCTTGGCCTTCCAATTAGGAGGCAGTTTCTTTTTCCAACCATCCGTTGTGGGTTGGTGTCCATGCCCGATCTTTTCTTCTAGATCTAGGGCCTTCTTGCTAAACGAGGGAAGTTGTGGACTGTGATCATGGCCTCACTTGCCAACCGATCCCTGATCTCCATAGTGAGGCACCTCAGGAAAGTGGTGAGTAAGACCTGGGGGTTGTAGCGTACGCCATGAACACAGATCAGACACTCTACCACGTTTATGGCATCCCTTACCCTTCCTTGAGCTCAAGGTCAATATCCCGTCGGTGGCCTTTTGAACCTCCTACGGGTCATGCCACCTTTCCTCCACCAGCTTGATGAAATCATACAGTCTCTAAGTGGCTGCCCAAGCGCGGAAGTCATGACCGTACCCCTGTAATTGCACGTGCCCGCTAAACCACCTCGCTGCACTCCCCTCAAGATAGGAGGCAGCCACAAGCACTTCCTCGTTAGACAAGGTTAACTTGCACTTCACGTAGATTGGCACCGTCCTCAACCATGTGTCCAGGTCCTCACCCTTCTTATCACCTGAGAAGGGTTTGGGTGATGCAATGGCAGTGTTCGGAACCCATTGTCCTTGTCTCGGGCGCAACTCCAAGCTCTGAGGCCTGGGGTGCAAGCTGCTGCACTTGCTGCTGTTGGGGTTGTGTGCCTTGCGGCTGTGCTGGCTACAAGGCGGCAGGCTGGCCTGTTACAGCAGTCTGCAACGCAGGTTGGGAGAACACTGTCTGAACATGAATCTGTACACTAGGACATGCTGAGAACCCGCCTGTCAATGGCATAACAAGATGGAAGCGGCCTGTACAGACACCGGAGGAAGTGTAGATGCGACTACCCCGGTTACCAATGGGACAAAGGGAGGAGGTTGTACCACAGGCCAGGCACCTGGCCCGAATGGTGATGGTGTAAGTTGAATACACCCGACCAGCACGACCAAACTTCTCTGAATGTCCTATAAGAGAGCCGTGTGGTAATCCCGCACCTCTACTACATCTAGCAGGGCCGTCCTAACAATCCTCACATCATCACCCATATTCGTCAAGTCCATCTCCTCTAACTCTCTCGACTCCGCTTCTCTCCGCTGCATCGTCGCTTTACGTCTAATCATCCTCTCCTTCTCTGCCTGTATCTCATCTAATGCCTGCTGTAGCTGTGTTTCGCGAACGCTGGCTCGCTGAATGGCGACCTCCTCAGGAGTGATGGCTGGCTATCACACCACCAAACTGACTCTGGGTCTGTGCGATCATTGAACCAACAGCGCCTGAACTACTAGTCTGGGAACTCTGCTGCATCCCATAACTACTCACTTGAGAGCCCTGTTGTGCAGAAGTGGCCATTTCGGTCGTTGAGACAGCTGCCTCTCTTAGGAAAGCCCTGCTTGCCTCTACGCCCCTGCCCCTCCTCTGCTGATGCTGCCTTTCCTCAGCCTGTCTGAACAGGAGGCGGTCTCCCTCGGCTCCTAAGGCTCCCTGGACCAACGGGAGTCTGCGGCTTGACAACGAAAGATCCGATCGTCCGGGTCAGGGTACTCTCCGTCGCTCATATGCTACAGCACTGTACACTGTCTGCACTAGGGACACACTCGGTTGCCTACCGCATCGTAGTGGTCAGACCGATTTTAAATACATAAAAATAAAAACTGCGTCGCATGCTGTTCTCGTTCGGTTGCCGAATGCGAACGTGAACGGGTCGGAAAACGGACCGAACACGAACGTTTTTTTTTTTTTTTAATATATATATGGGTCTGGGGGGTTAGGGGGGGGGGTTCCCATC